CCAATTCGCAACTTTTTACCATTGAAATGACTCTTGGAAGAAAAATTCTATTGCTGCCATTATTGCTTTTAAGTTTGAAAAAGAATACATCAAGGTTTAGAGAGTTACACATTCATATATGAAACAAAAGCATTTGTTCTCACCCCTTCTTCAATCAGTAACCATTCTTTTCAATGTTTTTCACTCATCTTTTAATTTCTTTTCTCATCTGGCTCTTCGCCATTCCTGTAATTTCTATTTCTAGCCGTATATGAGTCCATCCACATTTACCAATTACCACCTACAATATATTCGACAGTGGCAAATTGGCAATTAATGCTGCTGCTTTTGGAGATACATTATGAGGCACAATAAAGAACTTACTCTAATTTTCAAAAAGAAAGAAAACACGCCATAAAGCAGTATGTAATCAACTACTAATTTATAAGTGCGAATATCACCATTGATTTAATAGATCATGGATCCTTCTTGATCTTCTTTTGCTTAATGATTATGTTTGGAAATTAAATTAATAATGCGCGGAAATCCCTTTTGATTGCATTTGGTCACGCTTTAAATGGTGGATGCAATGAAAAGTGAAGTGAGAGCCACCAAAATCGAAGGAAAAAGAAAAATAAGAGAAGGAGAAGAAACGAGAGAAAAAAGGACAAACGGTATTACAATCGATCACAGTAGGCCTACGTCGTTATTGATTGCGAAAAGCTTTGACATTCATTAAAAAAGATTCCCTATGTACTTTTAGTATTGGTTTCCAGTTAATATTTTTACTAAAAGCAATATATTTAGTATGAAACCCTGCATGTGCGTGGATGCCTTCCACTCACCTTATAAGTTGTCATCGGCAAATTTGAAACCTCCAAGTAACATCATTAATTACAGTAAATTACAACATACACAGTATAATATTAATCTTAGGTGGAATTTGAAAAAATTAGTATATACACAGAATTCGTCCTTACCTTGAGAAGGTAAAGAGAAAAGTAAAAAGACAATTTAACGCATAAATTATCTTAAAATTAAAGGTCATGAAATGCAGAGAACTGTAAATATGGAATGCTAAGTGAAGCACTTAGAATTTTTAATGAATCCTAGAATTATAACTTGTACGCTGATGGAGTGGAAGAAAAAAATTAAGTAACATGTCCTCATCTCTTGTTATACAAATATACAAGTAAAATGAAAGTCTAAAGGAAGGTGGTAGAACAAGCCACGTACTTAGCTACATTTGATGTGGGGTAGGGTTGATTAAGGGTTGGTTTTTCTTATTCTTTTCTCCTAGCAATCATGACAATAATCCAAATAATGGCAACTTTATTAAAGGAAATTAAAGGGATTATAAATTGATTATTGCCCACTTCCAAGCAATTCATTCACCTACCGTGATTCTTTCCCTCATTTTTATTTAATTCATTTGGGAAGCAAAGATGGTGGCATGGAAAACCAAAATACCTGGTGCAAAATGGTCAGCTCCATGATTGTAATGGTGAAGGATCTTGTGTTAAATAACAAGATCTAGTGGACCGGGACAAGAACCACATGACTGATGTCTAGAGTTCAATGCTTCATTTAAATTCCAAATGCAAAGGTTTTCGGTTTGTGTCCCACTTTCCACTTCCGAATCCCACTTTCCTTTTTCAATCCTTCAATTCCATCCACTAACTTTTTAATCACTCTTGGGATTCTCCCAAGTCAAACATTCTTAATTGGCTGATGCAATTAATCAGTACTATAAATAGTATTCATTGGAGTCATACTGTCATAAGGACACAGGAGAGTGAACTCAAGTTTATCTAGCTGTTCATTAATTCTTTTTCCTATAATACTAATAGTTTTTATCTTTGAGCTATAGGTATGGACCCTGAAGATGGAGTCTCATCCCCTTCAACACCAGCAACTCCAGGAACTCCTGGTGCTCCTCTTTTTGGTGGTTTCAAACATGAAAGAAACAGCAATGGCAGAAACTCCCTTCTCAAGAGCTTAAAATGCTTCAGTGTAGAAGCATGGGCTTCAGAAGAAGGAAGCTTGCCACCTGTTTCATGCGCGTTACCTCCTCCTCCTGTCTCACTAGCCAGAAAGGTGAGAAAACAGAATGAGCAAATGCAAATGCAAATGATACTACTATATATCAAGAAAAACTTACTTGTTTATTGTATGTGTTTTTTAATCAGGTGGGAGCAGAGTTCATAGGTACTATGATACTAATTTTTGCAGGGACAGCCACAGCGATTGTGAACCAGAAGACACAAGGCTCTGAAACCTTAATTGGATTGGCAGCCTCCACTGGTCTAGCTGTAATGATTGTCATTCTGTCAACAGGCCACATCTCTGGAGCTCATCTCAACCCAGCTGTGACCATTGCTTTTGCTGCTCTCAAGCATTTCCCCTGGAAAAATGTAGAGACTAAACACTCGTTAACCACTTAATTTCTGGCTCTTGTTTATACATGTTAAGTGCGTTAATCTTGTTTTTGACAGGTTCCTGTGTACATTGGAGCACAAATTATAGCATCATTCTGTGCTGCATTTACACTCAAGGTAGTTTTGCACCCAATAATGGGTGGTGGAGTCACTGTTCCGTCTGGTAGTTACCTTCAAGCTTTTGCTTTGGAGTTCATCATCAGCTTTAACCTCATGTTTGTTGTCACTGCCGTGGCCACCGACACTAGAGCTGTAAGCATTTATTATCTGGTCTCTCTCCTCCTACTTTGCCTACTTGTCAATTGGACAACCATCACAGATCTCCATAATAATTTCGGTCTAGACCCTTATTAAATACGTTGTGGTTTGTTTTTACATTCACTTGCATAAATTAATGGCGGAGGAAAGTCTTATAGCAACTGGTAAAGTGGTAAAGTTGCTCTCATGTGATCAAGAGATTACGGATTCGAACTGTAAAAACAACTTCTTGCAGAAATACAAGATAAGACGGCGTATAATAGACCCTTATGGTTCATCCTTTTTCTGAACCACACGCATAACAAGAGCTTAGTGCACCAGTTTGCCCCTTTTTGCATATATTAACTGTAGTAAAACTTGACAACTGCCAACTCAAATCCCTGTGTACAAACTATAAACAATCATTTTATTAAATGGTAGTACTGGCAGTAAACTAGCAATAGGCCAAATGAATTTATTTTGAGTTACCTAACTTAGAGGTCATCTTTTCTTGGCAAACTACAGGTGGGAGAGCTTGCAGGAATAGCAGTAGGAGCCACCGTCATGCTCAACATTCTAATAGCTGGGTAATCTGCAATTCTTGCTGTTTAAGCTTTTAGCCACGTGGTGTTCATTTGTGCATCTTAGAATGTTAGTTAAGGTTTTGCTGCTCCTTTAATAGTTTTGACAGATCTTGTAGTACAACTTGATCTAGTAGCCTTTATTTCCATTGAGTGCTTTTCATGCTGATGCAAAAAGCTGAACGAAAATCATGTACAGATGTACTATCTAACGTGTCTGAATTCTTTGTCCGACTAAATTGAAGCTTTGGAAATTACTTTAGAACACAAAGTTGACAGCTTTCGTGAATAAAATAATCCCTCCATCCCTGCTTATGTTTTAATACCTTTTCGTACTTGACTTATATCCAAATGTTTAACACCATTTTCTGATAAAATAGTCGATGACAGCTTTCTCAAATATTGAAAGTTCACTAATCAAATTAAAGTTTGATGTGGTTTATTCTCACTCAAATATCTTTTCAAATTAAGATATTTTTTACACCCCCACCTATATACTGTAATTAATATATGAGTTAAAACTAGTAGTTATACTTTCAGTTCAACCACATGACGTGACATAAAATGAGACGAAAGCAGCAGTATACAATGGACATAGCTCGTGAAACAAATTAATAGCCTATTTAACGGCCTTCCTCATAATTTACATTTCTTGTGTTCTAGGGAGACAACTGGGGCTTCAATGAATCCAGTGAGAACGCTGGGACCAGCAGTAGCAGCAGGAAACTATAAAGCCATTTGGATCTATCTGACTGCTCCGATTCTTGGCGCTCTCGCTGGGGCAGGTGTTTACTCTGCAGTCAAACTGCCAAATGAAGATGACAACAATCATGGGAAGCCTTCACTGGAACATAGTTTCAGAAGGTGATTCATCAGTAATACCATTAGATCATGATAGTCACATACTTTAGTAGACAGTGTGCAGTTTTATCAATGTAGAAACTTCTTGTACCATTTTGCATCTGCAAGGCAAGGGTGGATCGAATAAAACAAATCTGTCCACTCTCTCTCCATATGTACAGATTTTAGCAAGATATAATTTATCAAAGAACAGATTTTTAGCAAGATACAATGACCGAGAGATGGAAGGAAGGAAACCATATTAGGAAACTTATGCAATGTGTACTATTAGTGAGGTTTTTACTGGATTGTAGAAGAGACTTCTGTGTAACATGTGTTTCCATTCATAGAACTAGTGCCACAGAAAGTAGGACTTCTTTTTGTTTTTCTACATCTGTCTGAAATTCTGAAGGAGCATGAAGTTTAGCTAAGAAACTAGTCTTATTTCATGCTCTGTCTCCTATACTATTCACTGAGCAGCTAATTCCATCCAAAGTGAATAGTTAGAAAGCCGGCTAAATTGCACCCAAACAGATAGAGAATTGCGGAAAGTGATGTTCATTATAAGCCTATCAGAAAAAGGAACTATTGTTCATCCATAAAGCACTGCCATATTGGCATAGGGGAATCCAGCTTATTATCGTATTAAAATTGTCCTTGTTGCTATTAGAACGCTGCATAACGAATATAGCTAAGGTCTGCATACACACTACCCTCCCAAAACCCACTTGTGAGATTACACTGGGTTTGTTGTTGTTATTATATATTTTAGAAAAAATATGCAAGTAGCAAGAGGTTGAAAATATGATTGAAAAGCTGTCTCTAAAATTTTATTAATCATAAGGCTTTAAATAGTCAAATAAATAAAGTAGTAGACTCATCCTACAACTAAATTACTAAACTCTTACTATAATTAAAATTCTGAATCTTCTAGCAGACTCTTTCTAAAACTAAATAACTAATTATTCTAGAAAACAGTAGCAGTAACAGATGTAAAATCCAACACTCCTCCTTGCTTCTGTTGCTGCAGTCTAAAGAAGGTCATCCTCAATTCTTTCTTCTGCTATTAGTGCTTGTGCATGAGCATCTTTGAACTTGCACACTTTTGTAACATGACCTTTTTGTTTGCAATTTCCACATAACGCATCAGGTCTCCACCAACTCTAAGTGTGTTTTCTTTTTGCAATAAGGATAATTGACTTTTTCTTTTTGGTGTTTCACATAAAAAATACCCTCAGTAACTTTGTCTTGTCTGAAGGCTCTTCTTTGCTCTTGTGCTTGAAGAACACTTATTAATTCTGCAACATAGATGGTAGAGAGATCTTTAGACTCTTCCAGAGAGGAAATTTTGGATTCAAATCTCTCGGGAATTGTCACAAGAATTTTTTCAACTATCCTGTCATCTTTGAAATCCTCGCCAAGTAACCTGATTTTATTGACAATTAAAGAAATTCGGTCAGAATACTTAGCGATGGTCTCATCATCTTGCATTCTAAGAGATTCAAAATCTCTTTTCAAATTTAAAATCTGATTTTGTCTGCCTCGTTCACTTCCTTAATACTCTTGTTTGAGTGTTTCCCAAGCCTCTTTTGTTATCTCACATGCAATGATTTTAGAGAAGATTGAATCTGCAACTGAATTTTGAATTATAGTTTTAGCTTTGTATTTTTTGGTTTTCTCATCTGAATGAGCTTTGATTTGGGCAAGGGTAGGATTTGCGGGAAGTGGTTGTATAAGTTTGTCTTCCATTACAACTTCCCATAGATCATAAGCTTCAAGATAAGATTTCATCTTCACTGACCAAGTCTGATAGTTTTCACCAGTGAAAATTTGTGGGGTATTCAAAGAGAGACCGCTGCTTGCCATTGTTAAAAATTTGGTTAAAAATCAGTATGGGTAAAAATGCGTATGGTTTAAAAGTGGTTGAAATTGGTTGTTTTTCAGCGAATTCAGAGATCCGTCAAGATCAATGGAGGCTCTGATACCACTGTTATGGATTTTAGAAAAAATATGCAAGCAGCAAGAAGGTTGAAAATAGGATTGAAAAACTATCTCTAAAATTTTATTAATCATAGGGCTTTTAAATAGCCAAATAAATAAAGTAGTAGACTCCTCCTACAACTAAATTACTAAACTCTTACTATAATTAAAATTTCTGAATCTTCTAGCAGACTTCTCCTAAAACTAAACAACTAATTATTCTAGAAAACAATAGCAGTAACAGATGCAAAATCCAACAGTTGTTGCTACTGTATTGAGCTCAACCTGATATGAAACTGACAAACTGTTATACTTATGTTTGCACACTGCTGGCATAATTCAGCTTTTAAAATTTTCACCAACACCACTAATTTTTTTTCTAAACATGATAGTGTGTACCATCTACCTTAGAGATCTCTGAAATTACTGAATTTAACAAGGTGATATGCAGCAACGACAAAACTGATTATAAGTGGAGTCCAACAAACAAACATGCCCAATCTTATTCCACTAAGCTCTTCACATATTCAATAACTTTCAATTTCAATGACATTTATCTTGGTCACCCCAAATAAAAAGATGATTTCCTTGTTATGTCCCTTCAAGGTGAAATCCAAGTGAAAAGCAAATTCAACCATCTTTTAGAAGAGGTACCATAAAAATAGACAGAAATAGATAAGGCCAAAATCTGCTTTCATTAGTGGATTTGGCTATTTAACTGAGGACCAAAAAGCAGGCAGAAACAAGACACAGAAGTCCTAATAAGCATAATAACAATAACTATTTTACCAAAGGGTGATATGCATATGCAATTTCATGGATAAATTGTCAAATGGTTAATCTCAAAAAATCCACAAGGGAAGACAGAGGAATTGCAGTGAAATGTATCCAATTGTGATGGTAATTTAAATGCAGGTATGTTTGTTAGCATAAGAGCTGCTCCCAAGAGTAATGTACAAAGTTCCTAAGACAGAAAAACAAAAGCAATCCGCGTAATACCTACAAAGGCTTGCCCTAGTGGTAAGTTTACGGCTGCGACCCATTTATTAATCTACTCTGTATGAGTCCTTTCATGAGTAAATAGGTTAATAATTCAACATTGTTTTCTGCAATAGTTGATTAAAATACTCGTGTTTTCCTAAAAGAAATTGAACTTTATATGATATGATGATAGAGGTTAAACAAAGTACCGAATCAGATAATTCCATTAAAACCAAGTAACCGACTAAACCATCTGGAGTGCCTTAGCTTGAACAGATTGATCAGGGCTGCGGTGAAAGAAGGATGATTTGTAGAGAGAAAGAGCGAGAGCAGCGGTAAGAGTACCAAAGACGTCGGCGACAGCGTCCTTGGTAGATGCGCCTGCTGACCTGAAATAACCTAATTCGTCGGCCACCTCCTTAGCGGCACCGGCAGCAAGTGAGACAATGGATCCGACCCAGATGCTCCGGCGGCGGATGAAAGGGTAACGAGCTTTTTCCGCGAGAAAGGAGGTAATGATAGCAATGAAGAAGCAGAAAAGGACGTGGTAAAACTTATCACGAGCTATCCAATCATCTCCGTCCTCCATTCTTTAAAAAAAAATAATTTATAGAAAAGAATGTGATTGGGGGACGACCTTTCAAGGAATTTGTAAGCAATTGCGCCAACAAAATGGAGAAGGAAGGTTTAGAAGAGTCACGTCATTGGATCTTCAGTTAAAATAGTAGTACTACTGTACATTAATTTTCTTTCTGTCTATCATTCTTTTTCAATCTTGCCCAAAAATGAATCACTTGGATTCAAATTGACTATCGATCTATGTTTCTTTCTGTCTATCATACTTTTTCAATCTTGCCACAAAAATGAATCACTTGGATTCAAATTGACTATCGATCTATGTTAAAAGGTAGAATAAATATTCATAGTAAAAACTTTCTTTTCTACGTAATTAATGGACCTGACCATCACTATGGAAATGGAGATCGGTATTTCACCAGTACGTACTATACATCTAATAGCCCGAATCTATTTGAAATAGTTTTTCTATCTCACAGGGTAGCGGTAAGGTCTCTGTACACACTACACTTCTCAGAAGTCAGACCCCATGGTGGGTATGTTGTTGTTGTTAGCCCGTTTGGCCAAGCCGCAAAATTAAGCTTATTTTGAGAAAAAGTTTTTCTCAAAATTACTTTTAGTGAAAAACAGTTTGTGTTTGACTAATTAATTTGAAAAACATTTCTAAGTAGCAATTAAGTATTTGACCAAGCTTTTAAAAGCTGCTTTTAAGTGAATTTTTTTCAAAAGTGCATTTGAAAATAAGCTACTTTTTTTTTTTTTCCAAAACTGCTTCCGCCTCTCCTCAAAAGCTTTTTCAAAAACTTGGCCAAACAAGTAACTTTGAAAAAAGAAAACATAAAAAAAAAAATGCTTCTAGGATGGAAAAAGCTTGGCCAGGCTATAATTCTGGTTGTTAGCCGTACCCCGTTTGTTCTTATTTCACATTTTCTCTACTACAGGATCAGTCCAGAACCTCTCAGCCGTTGTAAAGAATCTAGTGATAAGTGAGGACAGAAAAAATTGGCAAACACAAAAAGGTCGGACTACAAATTAAATGGCTTCGGCTTCAAGGCACAAAATAAGAAACAACCCACGGGAAGGCTATTGAGATCAATGGACGGAGAAAAATATAGAATATCATTTTTGGCATCATAGCTACAATTCTTCTGTCATCATACGAGAAAGTTATAAGTGCTAAATTATCCAATGACGTTATCACAACAATAATACACCCAACAAATAGACCCCTTGAATATGCTAATTCATCTTGCTGATCAACTCATTGATTTGGCCCTCACGATTGCCTGAATCACCCCCGTCCACAAATCGTTTTTTCTTACCCTGCAATGCCTTTTCTGGTTTGTTGAGAGCAAAGGGACACAAAAAACTAGTGACTTCTTTAAAATGGGGACCAACATTGGCAATCTCATTCACAAGGTCTTCTAAGCATATAATACCATATTGACCCAATGCCTGGAAACAATAAATAGTTACTACACAGGCCGCCCAGAAACTATTATAAAAGAGAAAAGAAGCAATTCATGGTACCTGTTCAACAACTTCGTTGCTGGTTAAAGGCACTCTCTCGTTGTCAATTTTTCCAGCACCTTTCTTGTAAATCAGATCCTTGATGCTCTTGAGATTTGGATATCTTCAAAAACATGAACAAAACCATTAGAAATATTCTACAGCCTCGTAGTCTATGACAGAAGAGAAATACATAGAACTGCTAAAGCAGTTTCGTTTTACACGGTTAAAAACTTAAAATTTCCTGCTTAAGGAATAAATAACTGCAATTTAATGTTCTACCAAGATCAGGCATGTTTCTAAGTAGAGATAGACCATTAGCTGTAAAAGTAGACCTACGTTATCCTGGTGTCCCATAATTTTTTTTAAAAATTAAGCTCCTGGTGTCATCATACGGTACATGCTAAAACTGTCTTTAAGTGTCATCGTCTTCAAACTGGTGGAACGGAAATGGTTGTATGATTTATACCACGGGATTATATAGACTTAATTAAGGGTCTCATTTTCCTCTTTTTGACATACAGTAATTTAACTATCAAAGACAAAGCAAACACAGATTTTGGCATTACAAGAATATTGCTCTCCTTAATAGGAGAAAATAAAAATGAGAAAGTCCAAGACCAATTAAATATTCAAATTAAGGTCCCTTTGGCAGCTCTAAGAACCAGTAAAATAAAAAAGTGCAGTCACCCCCCTCTCTAGCAAGCATAATGCCTATTCACTAATTTGAGGTTGAGTACTTTGGGGATATCCAGTAATGCGAGTTCATTAAATGTTGTGTAGCAAACTAGTAAAAAGGTTAGTTCAACCTACCCATATGTGACATAAGGCTCCACCTTTAGCAGAATTTCCAGTATTCTTGCATCTGCCTTCACAAAGACACCACTGAAGATTTTCCGCAGCCTCAAAGAGTACAAAAGCTTTCGTGTTCTTGGGTGCATATCACTTTTCCTGAAGTGTATCACAAAATCTTAGGATCCAGGTTACTGTAGCCAAGAAGATAAAAGTATGATTGGAAAACCAGGAACCCACCCTCCAATGCGTATGACATAAAGGAGATTGGAATCAGACGTGACCAATGCTCGCCTGGATCTTTTCTTACCCCTTTGTTTCATTTGGACAAGGTCCATCTCCTAACATAAACAACAGCTCGGTTGAGAAGAATGTTGGACAAACAATATACCACAATTTATAAATCAGATTACTGCAAGTTGATGGCTCAGAAAAGGTAGATAAAAAGCCAACTGTAGGCGAGCTCTATTAATGGCTGTAGCAGAAGAAAGAGCAAGTGACGTGAAAAGGAAGACAAACATGACAACTTCCAAAGGCAATCTAACATTAAGCAAATATACCAGAGCCACAGGATGCAAGGGTAATGGGCATCTTAGGCTCAATAGGCAAATCAATATACCATGCCAATTCCATTTTGATTGTCATTATTCACTATCAAGAGTAGGTTCCACTAGCTTTCAGTTCAGGCACAGACAGGGAGAACTACAGTCTGTTATCTTCTGAAACAAAACCTGGAAATTCGGTAGCTAACCTTGCATATTAGCGTAGTTTAAAATATTCAAATGATAATATAACACTTCCTGTTAACTCCCAGGAAACAAAAACAATATTATCTTGTGATTGTATAGGCCAGAACTAGTTCCAGAGCGTTGGTGCCACCCAAAATAAATAGTTGCAGTCCTGGGCCCCCTAAATTTGAAAATTTAAAATTGTTATCTCTCCTTAACACATTGTTGTCCGTACTGCTTCAGAAGGTCTTTTACCCTCTTACTTCTAATTATTGCACTATACTGTCTTGTTCCTTTCTCGGGAGTTAGAACATCACTATTTCTGTGTTATGGCTATTGGTTGCAAGTCTAAATTTTTAGAGACCCTAGAGAATGCTACTGAGATGTTTTTTGGCCACAATGACTTTCACATCCAGGAATTTTGACCCAAAAAGAAAGACTTTCATATCCAGGAAGGACAAAAAGATGCAGGTTACTAGCAAATGAGTATAAAGGAAATTGGAGATCATTTTGTTTAGGGCCATCAAGCTAAGAGATAAGTGAACCAAAGTAAATATCAGACCATAAATATATCAATCATTAACAAACGTCACTGCCACTGCACCACAAAATTCCTGATTATAGATTCTATAACTGGTAAAGAGACTCAAAACGAAAATAAAATGCTGAAGCCAAGAGAAAATCTGGAAAGATTGAACAATTGCTTCATGAAATAAATGCAATATGTCACAAACAAATAAAAGTAAAAAAGAAAAACAAGATGGGACATGTGCAAATACAAGTCTTACAGCCCGCATAAGATAAAGGGAAAAGGCTAAAATTCTAAACAAAAGATGCAATTTAAACAATCAATTCATAGATATAAATACCTTATCCCTATACTCTCGAATAAACTGCTCAGGCTTCTTGATAACAAAATTATCAGATTTAAGTCTCTTGACTTTCTGCCCTAGCTGGACTTTTCTTCTGATTGCCCACTCTTCATTGTTCTTCCTCTTCTTTAGAATCACTTCTGGTATATAGTTTAAAGGCTGTGGCACCTCCTCAGCCATTGTTAGCTATTCTATCTCTTAGACAAACAATGAGCAAAGTTAGACAAACCGTGTCATTTATTGGATATATTGGACTATCCAACTTCTCAAACACTGACTTTAACTCAATTTAGGAGCTGAATATAGTTAATCTCAAATGCTTTAAATCATAACAAATGGTAGAAGTTGAAAAAAAGATGGTCACACTGAAATCATAGGTCTGAATAGAATGATTGGAAAATGAATCGAACTTTATGAACTTCATTCCACAAAATCAAAATTTGAAACATTACGATAAATATTTCAAGTCCTCTGATTAAATTGACAGACGTGTCTATAACATTTGATTACAAACAGGAAACAAGCACGAGTGAAAATTAAATAGTAAAACCAACAAAGCACAAGTAGCCAATGCTCACATATAATGCGTATTCTATCAGAAAACTCAGTCAGAAAACAGAGATAGAGGTTACTTTGTTCGCCGGAGAGGAGCAAGTTTGAAGACGAGGTAGGGTGACGGAGGTTTAGGGTTTTGGACCGGTAAGGACGAGGCTCGGGAGAGTATTATCAGTCGAAAAAAGAAATCAACTCTTTACCAACATTATAAGTTGACGGGCCGGATCCATATTAAGTTGGGCCATCATGAAATTCTTGTTCATCCAAAACAATTGGGCATTGTGAAAACCCAGTCCACCTAGACAAGGGAGAGAATTTGGGCTTTTCTTTACCATAGCTACTGGGAAAACTACACTTGTTTAGCTACTGTAAAAAAATAATAGCGGGACAAATATATATATTCTTTAGCAACTCAGACTTTTTTTCTTAACTTAAACTACTAATATACGTAATAATCCTCTGTGATAAATAAATATAATGTCAGACGACATTAAGCTAGCGTTTGGACATGGATATGGTTGAAACTTGGAAAAAATGAGTTTTTGAAGATGAGATGAAAAATAGTTTTAAAAAGTTGAAATTATGTTTGGACATATATTTTACTTAAAAAAAAATTAAAATTTTGTGAGTAAAATACTTCGAGGATTTGAAGATTTTGTTTTCAAAGTCTGCCAAAAAATAGTTCAAATCTGCAAACAAACAAATATCTGAAAACTGGTTTGGAAAAAGCCCCAAAATTTTATGGTTAAACGGCGTGAAAATAGCACGGGCTAGCCAGTTTTCGGACTGGTAATTGTAAAATAGCTAGCGTTTGCAAAGTCATAGAAAAATAGACACTATTTCGCTATAACACGG